TTTAACAGCCCTCTGTTGGTAGATGTTCAATTCGCGTTTGTTCTGAACCGCTACAATATCGGTTATAAGTTTAGGAAAAATAAATTTGTGTATAAAGTCCTCTCACCTCGTATTCTGTGACCCCAAATTTCGAATGTCGCATTTTTCATAAATTTCTGTTTTTTTCGTCGTTTTGTTCCGATCTGTATGGATTTAAAAATTATCCATAAGCTCATATGAACTGATTAAAATGAATTGTGTGCTTACATTTTGTCTTCAGATCCTTATGAAGTGTGACTGAGTTTAACCATCTGCACACTACATATGGCTCGACAAACAGATCAGTCGATCGAGCATTCTGGATAAATGTAATTTCAGGAATTTATTGTACTATGCCTAATGTAAATGAATATTGTAATTCGTGCAGAAATGACTGCACTTGCAGCAGAAAACAACGAAAATGGACTTCAATGCCTTTGAATATTTATTCGTCCGAAATTATGCCGCAATGATGCTCCGAATTCGGCTAGTTGAGTCCCACTCCAAAACTGATGCCACCATGCACTGATAGAACGGATTAGTTATTGTTAACGAATGGATTTTGGTTGGAGGTTAGGGTCTATTCGGTCTCACCAAATGTTCATTCGTTAATAGTTAACGAATGTATATTTGAGAAACCTTGTTTGACTCGACTTACGCCATTCAAGTGAACCATTCGTTAACTATTAACGAATATTCATTTGGTCATATTCAACTCTACCATTCGTTAATAGTTAACGAATCTCGTTTGGAATAAATGAATCATTCTATCAGTGTGGTACTCGATGATGGAACTGATGATATGAAAAAAATTATCTCCAATTTTGATCATTCAGTCATGCCTCGAAAAATATTTTCCCCAACGAAATAAATTTCTATGTTAAAGAAGGACTCAAACCCTCCACGCCACAAAATATTTTTTTCACCTACAATTTATTTCCACTTTCACCTAACAACGATTTACAGTTTAAAGAATTTCTCATTTCCCACGAATATTGACACTCCAAAAAGTCTCTCCCCCTACAAAAAAAAAATCTTAGAATGTTTACCAATCGTCTCTACACCCACTAAGCCCGACATATCGTTTTTCCCGCTGGCACATTCGACACGTTATCACCACAACGGAATCGATCGTCAGTACATGTGGAAGAAGCATATAGCGTTCGCCCTCGGAAAGCCCTGGTGATCTCACGTCAGCGGAGAAACCACACGACTCCAGCTCTCGTTCATCCTCTCATGAGCCGATAGTGTAGCACCCACATTCCCCCATACTATTCCGAGAAACCAAGAAAAGAGAGAGAGTATGCAGTGAAAGAGACGAGGAGAGAAATGGATAGAACAGAAGTATGTGAGAAAGGGGTTTACTCTGAATTCCTAGGATCTGCAATTGCGGTTTGGGCGATAAAAGCCACCTGCAGGAGAGTGGATCCGCGGCAAGAGGTGGGAGTTGGTGGTTTTGGAATCTACGAGAGGATACAGTTGAGTGAGAAAATACTAGATAGACGGAAAATACGTAATGATGGCTTGAACGGTTAAATTTTAAAGCTAGACATGTTCATTGAGTACTCAACTACGTCTCAGTTATGAGTGGAAACGCGAAATGCAGTTTAAACCACGAAAACCTCATTTTCGTGCGGCACTGAGCAGCTTCAAAGAGAATGAAAAAGTTAATTGCGAGATATACTCGCTCGTCATAGATTCATATTTCAGAAAAACATCCTAGCGCATTTGTTAAGGGGGGACCCAGCTGAAATTTAAAAGGCTTCGCTTGAAGAAAATAACTACCGAGCGACTTTTAATATGTCATGGGGTACAGGGAGAGAAATTTTGGATAAAAATTATCCAAACCGTTATTAAATTATCCTACCGTTCTATAAAAGTGTATCATGAATCATCGTTTCCTCATTTCTATCTCGAAATTTAGTCAAAATTAATATATGATGATCAAATTTTATTCTACGTTAGAAAAATTTTATCCTGATGCATAATAAATTTTACCCTTCCAGTACAATAATTTTTATGCAGATAACAACGAAAATTCTAGGACGGCTGGTAAATTTTACCCTACCGGTACAGTCATTTTTACTCTAGCGGCACGGTAATTTTTATTTTTATCAGGATAAAATTTCTCTAACGTAGAATAAAATTTGGTCATCATAAATATATGATGATATTAATTTTTACGAAATTTCGGGATAGAAATGAGGATGACTCATGATACACTTTTATAAAACGGTAGGATAATTTTTATCAAAAAAATTTCTCTCCGCGTACCTAAATAAACAAGCAGGGCTCCAAACCTATCCGACAGAAGGCCGTTACTTTTTGCGTCACTAGTCTCTTTCTTTATTGTATTGCTACCAATTCCATTGGTAATAAGCTACCGAATGGATCTACAGAAAAATATTCAACCTTTTAATGAAAAATATTCATACAAAAGGGTAAGAGTATTCTTTAGTAGTTCAATAGCTATAATCGTACCATATTTCAACTTGATATCCCCATTTTTGCTCAAGTTATCGTGCGTACAAGAATGGAAAAATTTTCAAAACGAAAAAACGGGGATATCTCGGAAACTTTGTATGAACGGGTATATATATTTTGATTGATCCATATAGTGGCTGAGGAGACGAGTATTTTGAAAAAAAAAGTTGAAATCCATCAAGTAGTTGAAGAGATATTTGAAGAAATATATTTAAACAAAAGGTTGCATATCTCAGGAACCGCCCGGCCGATTGCGCCTAGCCAAAATAGCAACCTTTAGTTTAAGAGGTAGAACCATACAAAATTTCAACTTGCTCTCTCCTTTTTTTCTCAAGCGTCGTGCGTGATAGAAAGGATTCGTTATTGTTAACGAATGGATTTGGTTGGAGACGAAGGTCTATTCGGTCTCGGCAAATGTTCATTCATTAATAGTTAACAAATGCATATTTGAGGAGCCTTGTTCGACTCGCTTTTCACTTTTCAAGGGAACCATTCGTTAACTATTAACGAATGTTCATTTGGTCATATTAAACTCTACCATTCGTTAATAGTTAACCAATCTCGTTTGGAATAAATGAATCAGTCTATCAATGTACACGATTTTTCATGAAAAACGGAAAAATGGTAATATCTCCAAATTGTGTATTAAAGAGTCTGTATATTCCGATTGACCTAGATAGAAGCCATCGACGAATATTTTGAAAAAAAAAGCCTTTGAAATCGATGCAGTATTTATGTTGAATTTTTTACAAATGAATCAGCAAAAACCCAAGTTGTTATATACAGACAAGATCCTAAAAACATATTTTTTTCACGTTCCATAATATTCTCGACCGTTTGCAATCAAAATTAGAAAATTGAAAAATCGGTCAAATACTAGACTTCCGTTCGGAAGGAAAAATGTCAAATTTTCAAAGGTGGTAAAGCATTCTAACATTTTTTTTTCTCTATAGTATAAACATCTACACATACGTAAGAAGATTGGGGGGTGGGAACGAGCGAAGCGAGTTTATACTCAAAATATTTTTTTCAAATTATATTTTATAAATACATAAAAATATTGTATCATTCAAAAAATAAACAGAAAATATCATCAAATCAATAATGACATTAATGCCGAAGTAATTGGCTCATGTGTTAGTGCCAACGTCCATACATATAACAAACAGACATTGACTTATTTATTTCAGGGTAGATTTCTTAGAATAGGGGGATGTGATTCGCTCAGAGATATCTGTGATGATTAATCTAATGAAATAGAAGGATTTAGTAGTGAAGGGGGAACGTGGTAAGCACAGTGTTTTTGAGGACTAGTGTCAGTGTCTCATGAGGAACATCGTGTTACAGTACCCCAGATGCTTGCAAGTTTGCACCGTAAATCACGGGAGTTCACTCGGTCCCCGAAGTACCAGTGACTGAGATGCAGGGGCTAGATGGATGTGCAAAAAATATGTGGGGTGATAACCCCGGAGCGTTTGCTTGAACGTCGGATGAGTTTGGTGGTAATGTCATTGTAAATCACTAGATTTGATCCGGAGGAAGTTATTATTGTAATGACCCCGAAAACCGAAAGTCAACCTTTCATGATATCTTCACGTTTCATCACCTTTAGATCCTATGACATTTCTGAAGACATATTTGTCCATGTGTGCTTGCCTACGTGACTAAAAATGGCGTCACGACGTCTTTCGATTGAATGTGATAATGCGGTTGAGTTTTTAATGACTCCGAAAATCGAAACTGGAAATTTTATGATATGATATCTTCACGTCTCATAATTGTTTGAAACTTTCTATGAAGCTTTTAGAAGGGTGTTCGTGCGTGTGTGCGTATGTGAAAAGAAACTTGCGCAAAGATTCCGCTGGGATGAACGGTCCGATTCAAATTTTTGTTACTGCAATCGATGCGTTTTCACGTAACTGAGAACTAATAAGAGTTTGAACCTCATTGTCTCACCGATTTTCTCAATAAAAAATTTTCTTTATCAATAAAATTAGTAAAAAAAACGTAAAAAACTGGAATTTTTTGTAAATTTCATAGCTTTTCCTGGAGAAATGATGGGACTCATTTCTGTTCGTCATAGTCGATGCAAAGACAAATAATGGGACTAACTTTTTCTCTGTAATCGATGTGTCTTCACGTAACTTGATTCTGAATAGATGTTTAACAAAATCGACGCTGCGATTGTTCAATTATTTGGATAGAAAAATATGAGCTCAAGCCCGCATAAATCTTGTTTATTCACGAAGAGTTTACTTGTCTTCATTTAAATCAAAATCAACTAGTTTCAAAATTTCAAAGTTGATTCTCGATTTAACTTACTTCAGAATTTTTTGTTGGTAAGAAGTTTAGCTTATATTACATCATCAGTCGTCTGGAATATCTTGACCTAAACGATAATAGTGGCATTTCAAAAAATATTGCGAATCTCACTTCATTGTCAAGTGAGCACTTCAACCACCTCTGATTTCACTTCAAAAGATGAAATATGTTCTTACCTTATAGATACGAGAATCATCGCAAATATGAGGTATTTCCCCAGGAGAGGAACCACCAACGAAGTAGGCGGTATGATCTCCACAACCAGTAGGAAGAACACGTGAAGACTGATGAGAATGGAGATAGATAACGTAACCTGCAACAACAGAATGTCCATCAGTATCCTAAGTACTGAGTACTACTGTTGAGTCAACTGAAACCTCCGCTATCTTTTTCATGCACATTTAGGATTTTCATGTCAATTGTTGGTGTTTTTGAATTCGCGTCATTCATTCCATGGAGGAATTAACATTGTTTCCGCAATCGATAGTCTGCAGGTGAAAATACCGTTCGATTTTTTCAATAAAGTTCAATAAAAGACAAACTGAAAAGCTTTTTAGAAACAGATTTTTTACATTTTTCCCAGTATTCCCAGAGAAATTTTTTTATTTTCAGGGATATGTCACTGATCTTTATTGATTTATCCCCAATTATGAGGAATACGCGATTGTGGAATTCAACGAGAGCGAAAACTTAAAATTCTGTGATTTTGTTACCCATTGTTAATGACATTCATTAATGTCTAGGAATCTATTACCAAATTTCAATGATAGAAATCACAAATGCACTGTTAAAAATTTTTGTCGGAATTTTCCGTGCCAAATTCCGGGAATTTTTATCGTCTTCAAGTTCCATTGAAATTTCAGGAAATCTTGTCATTGAAAAATCAATTATTCCGTTGATTTTCTTTTCAAGTGATCTAAAAATCGATAAAATACTGGATTTTTCAGTTCAATTAGTCTGTGAAAATTCAGAAAAATCAGGAAAATTCAGGGAAAAATTGAAAATTCATGAAATGAATTTTTTATGTTGTTCCATTCATGTTGTTTCTGAATATTCATTTTTCACTGAAAATTCAATCTGAAAGTTATGAAATCTCCATTACACTCCCACTGAAAACTCATGAATATCCCTGTATGCTACTTAAAACTTGAAATTTCATAACCGGTTCTTCCCTAAATTCAATTCAATGTCACTCTCATGAGATTTCCTAATTTTTAATTTTTTATTCAGGCATGTATGACCTCTCGGCCTTTTACATACATGAGATTTCCTATATCTTCCGTGGAATTTCAAAAAAATTCTAACAGTGTACTAAACGGAAACGACTTCTGAACGGAAAATCCTACCAAACGCTGTCGGTGTGAGGGGCGAGGGGGGACGGGCAACTGCGCTTACGTAGGCGTTGTGTGCTGTACTGAGCGTTCCTTTACAGCATTGATAGAATCGGCTAAAAACTAATAGGAAGTTCAATCAAAATCCAATCGAATTTTCTTGCGAATTTGCGAGATATTTTTATAAAATTTGTTCGTGTGTGCAGGAACGGCCTACACATATTTCAGCCGTAAAATACTTAAACCATTAACAATTAAAAGCAGACGACTTTAACGCGTAATAGCTAATACCGTATGACTGATAAAATTCAGTTGAGACGACTAGACCGATGCTTTCAGCTACGCACGTTGTTACAGGAATAACTACACCGGATTGGTTGAAAATGTAACGACAGTGGCATCTTTCAAACACTGACATAGGAATGAACACCAAGTTGTAATTAGAAAGTCAGCTGCTGTAATCGAAAAGTGGCTTTTTGTTTACGGGATTCACTTTTCGTTTGCGACAGCTGACTTTCTTTTTACTATCGTAAAAGTTGCGGAAACTGCCACTTTATGCGCAAAAATCAGTTATTTTACCGCTTCTTTCAAACATCCCTGTTTTCTACTTCATTGTTTTCTACTTCAAATTTTGACAAAGCATCTGGTAGAAAAACAATGATCTCCAATTTTCAAATACAAATCAGTGGATTTTCATTTGAAAATGGATCCCCGGGGGTGTAATTTCTATGTTGAAAGTTTATTAAGGCCACCTGGATTTGTCTCCAGTGGGAGAATTTCAGCACTCATTGCCATTAAAATATCATGGCATTGTTGCACATGAATAGCCAGTATATATCCATCTCGTTGGACTCTCTGGGCCCGTTGTCGTGTTGTGTATACTCCCACTGGAGTCACCATTAATCCCATAAATTTCGTACATAGTTCCCGAACAGCCCTCTCACCTACGAATTTCGAAACCCCAGCCGTCCAAAATCCTCTTTTCCAGCTGAATAAAGCTCGTAAAGAATAAAAATTATATAGCTTAATGATGGATTGTTTTTTCGGAACCACATTCTTCTCAATGCTCTGTTTCGCGTTTGGGTTTTGAAATGAATAAAACCACGCTCCTCGCAGGTTTTTTTCGTGGCACTGTTTCCCAAAGAGTGGTATAATGGGCCATGACAGAGGACTATTGATTCTTCAGGGCTTTCCGGGGAAATACAAAAGAAAATCGACGATAAATTCAGCGGGAAATTTTTCGGCACTTGACAGGGATAAATATTTTTGCGTGATTCACTAGTTTCACAGGCGCCAGGGTGACTTTATCCTTCGTCCCGACAGTGTGACGCGACTGTTTTATTATATTCATCACTGCAAGCATTTTTTGGGAGGTTAAAAATAGAATGCCATGATCATGCGAATTTTTCTGAATTCAAGCGAGAGAGCCTTCTCTCGCTGTAACACAATTCCTGGAACGCTTTCTGTTATTGATCTGTTTTGCTGAGTTTTTACTATAAAAAAAATATTACACTATAGACTGGTGAGCATTTATAGCCGAATTTCACGTGTCCAATTCCGAAAATTTTTAATGCGCCAAATTTTGAAAATAAATTCGACACATTCTTTCTTATACAAATTTATACGCGTTTATATTTGGGAAGGTATACGTTGCGGGCCTTGGTCATGCCATTCCTATGTGATTCCTGCGTTTATATTCATCTAATTAATCATTTCGATGAACATAAGATGTAAATTCAAAGTAAAAACGACTGAAAAATTTATATAATTTGACGTGCAATCCAGTCAGTGAACGTGCAGCACTGTTAAAAATTTTTGTCTGAAATTTCCGGTATACTTTTTGGAAATTTTTATTGAAGTCAATTACCATTGAAATTTTAAGGAATTTCATCATTGAAAATTCAGAATTTCCTGGCAAAATCAAAGAGAACTGTAAATTTCAGTTTTGTTGTTCCCTGAAAATGAATAGAAAACCAGAAAATTCCGGTAAATATATTCTTGAGTTTTCAGGACAGTAATACTGAATGTGATTTAGGGGGAAAAAATCATGAAATTTCGGATTTCAGGGAAAATTCAATGTAATTTGGCCCTGAATATCCATATTAGGTTGGAAATTCAAATAAATGAAGAAACTCTCGTCTTTATGCTGCTCAAAGTTCTGGAATTCTACTGAATTTTCAGTGAAACCTGAAATTTTATTTATTTTTTCTTCTAAATCGCATTCAATGTCCCCGTCCTGAAGATGAGTAGTCAACTGTCCATGAAATTCCATTCTTTTTCTAACATTGCGGCTGCACTTTATCTGGGCATGAATTTTGCGGTATGATTTCATTCAATTCAAGTCTAGTTATGACTCATCATTCTCTGCCACGGATGGTGCAATCGGCGGTAAGTCATAATTACTGTTCGGTCGTACATGTAAATTAATAGTTAAGACGACCATTGAAATACTTTCGTTTCCAAAAAACTTTCCAATTTTTCCCACGAAACAATTTCGGTTTCCCCAAGTAACCGAAAGATGCAGTTTAATCTCTTCGAGTTGAGTTTACACACGTACAAGTCATAAAATCCCGAAATTTTGTCTCTGGAAAACCCTTGTCAACTCATAGGCACAAAAAAAAAATTATTTTCTCTCTAATTGTTACTGTCCAGACACCTTTGGTCGCCAGACGAAAATCGTAAATTTAACTCCGAGCGTCCGTCCGGACCTTTTTTTGTCTCTCCGGATTTTTTTTGTCTCTTCGGGCCTCACCCACGCGCTCAACGTACCTTTCGCCAGCGTTGCTGAGTCCCAAAATATTTTCACGCCTTCAAATAGTTTTCCACCAATAAGAAAATTTCTCTACCCTCTCTCTACAAGGGAACAACCCTCTTTACCCTCACTCTACATTGTACATGAAGAGGAGAACATAGGAAATATTTTAAGTTAGTACCAACGAAGATTCCAAAGAGAAAACATCGAGACACAACACTCAGTTCTGATCTCGTATTTAAAACCAAATATCCGATCTAATATAAGGTTATTTTAAAAGTGCAATAGTCATTGTTATAGACTCTAGTTTCGTGAATTATCTTGTGAATTAATTTATCAACATTTTTCTTTATCAATAGACTCTGTTTTTGTGAACTCCTTTGTGAAATATTTTATCAACATTTTTATTATCAATTATATCGTGAGTTTAAGTGAATTGTGGCTAATTATTGCAATCCCGTTCCTTAGACTTTTAATTCTGTTGCTTTCGGGTCACTCGTCGTCAGCAGCCGTACCGGAGACCAGATTGACGTACCAAGGAGTATACCTGGGCCTTACAACCCCAGGGAAGGGTTGACATTAAAAATTATTCAGCTATCGCGTCAATTACCCCGTACAATCACACTTATCGGAGCTCAACTTTTCACATCTCCGTGTGCCCAATTTTTGAAATATGCAGTAGATAACTCTATTACAAATCCATTTGGATCTATTTTTTTTATAACAACGATAGAAGAACAATTCTTTTGGATGATCGAACTTTCTCGAGAAAACACTTTTAATGAATCCCTTGGAATCTGGTTATTTTGTAAGGTGTTTATAAAAAGGATTAGATGCCAAATACATTCCGAAATACGTAGAAATTATTCTCGGCATACCTCTGGAGCCAAATATTATTGCGCAATTTTTATATAGATTCTAAAATTTTAGGTGCGAAATATTCTTGAAATGAAGTTCTCTAAACCCCCTCCTTTCCAAAAATTTCCTTCTGATTTGGATTATAATCCATAGTGTCAACTCAATTCTTCATCATCACCAATAAACGATCTCTCTAATATTTTGAGCTGCACAAGTATTACAAAATAATCTGCAATTTTCTTCCGCCACGAATTCCTGACAAAAATGTTTTGTCATCATGAGAAGAGTCGTTTCCTTCAGAAAAATATGGAAAATACCTCGTTCAATTCCTAAAATTCCCTGTTCCACCTCATAATTTCCCAGATGCACTTG